CCAAAAAATCATACACACGATCTGCCATAACAGCAGCCTAAAAAGTCTTCATATCATCAGCACTTTATCTGAAAATGACGTCTCTTGTCCAATTCAAGCCAGATTGCCTTAAGTTCGGCAAAATAGGTAGAGACAGGACAACCTTCTTGCTTGAGACGGGTAGCCTGGCACCGCAGTTCATAGAGCTGGGATATGTCAGAGCCATCATAAAACATCTGATTAATAGCATCCCAAATTTCCTTAGTAATAGTTATAGTATGAAACATATTCAACAAACTGGGTTCCATAGTTCGCAGCATCCAACTTTTCACAACAGCATCAGCAATTTTCCACTTCCCAAATTTCGGGTCTTTGGAATCAGGGGCATCAATGTCGCCAGTCAGGTAACCCAATTTGCCTTGTGTAGTAGCATGGAGTTCGATCATCGAAGCCCATATCTCATAGTTGGATCCATTCAATTTGAATCCCATAGGTAGGTTGGTGGACGATTTGGTATGAACCGTCACAATAGGAGTAGAAGAAGAAGAGTTAGTGACATCTAACATGGTGATAGATAGCGGCCGCAGGAAAAGATTAGGTGATGACGCCAACAGTAAGAGATATAAGACAACACATGCTTAAGTGTATAGGTTAGGTGCAGCGGAAATAGGTATTTTTAGGATTAGGGTTTTGATGTTGTAGAGACGAATCGGAACCCGCTCTGATACCAACTCAAAATAATTAGGGTTTAAAACTGATATGTTTATTCTTCTCTCAAGGAGGAATATATATACTACATACAGAGTGGTTACAAATAGGAAATATGTACAAAATCTCCTAATTCTACTCAAATTAGATAATTACAATAAAATAGAAATTCTATTCCTAATAGGAACAAATTCTATTCCTAATAGGAACGTTGACTCATGCCAACACTTCGGAAATGTTCTTTTGTTAGATGCTTATATTGCCGGACTGTGAATTTGTACCATACCTTCGAGGAAGAATCGACTTGATCAGTTGTACACAGATTCACAGTCAAGCAAGAGATCATTTCCCCCTGTTTATGATTCAATTGATTCATATTACTTAACTAACTCATTATAACATTTCTTTCCTTATTGTTAATTTGCAGATGAGACATATCTAACTAATGGCTACCTAGACACAGTCATAGATTGGATACCTGGACTAAAAAGCATCCGGCTAAGGGATCTTCCAAGCTTTGTTTGAACTACAGATACCAAAAGCAGTGTGCTTAACTTTGGCATAGAAGCAACTGAAAAGACAAACAAGGCTTCTGCAGTTGTTATACGTACTTTTGATGCGTTGGAGCGAGAAGTTTTGGATGCTCTCTCATCTATGCTTCCCCTTGTTTACACCATCGGCCCTCTCCAATTACTCGTCAACCAGCTGCCAGAAGACCCTCTGAAATCTGTAGGATACAGTCTATGGAAAGAAGAAACTGGCTGCCTCCTGTGGCTGAACACCAAGGCCCCAAACTCGGTTGTTTATGTGAATTTTGGCAGTGTAGTCGTGACGACACCACAACTTGTTGAGTTTGGTTGGGGACTTGCAAACAGCAAGCATTTTTTCTTGTGGGTAATTAGGCCTGATTTGGTTGTTGGTGACTCAGCTATTTTGCCAGCTGAGTTTGTGGATGAAACAAAAGAAAGAGGTCTAATAGCAAGCTGGTGCCCACAAGAGCAAGTCCTCAACCACCCATCAGTTGGAGGGTTTTTGACACATAGCGGTTGGAACTCAACAATCGAGAGCCTGAGTGCAAGGGTGCCTATGATCTGCTGGCCGTTCGTTTCGGAGCAGCTAACAAATTGTTGGTATACTTGCAATGAGCTGGGCTGTGGGATGGAGATTGATAGCAATTTGAAAAGAGATGAAGTTGAGAAGCTTGTTAGAGAGTTGATTGAGGGAGAGAAGGATGAGAAAATGAGAAATAAGGCTGATGGGTGGAAGAAACTAGCAGAAGAGGCCACTGGTGCACAAGGTTCTTCAGTCATAAACTTGGACAATTTAGTGAACCATGTGCTTCTAAGGAAAAGCTAAGCTAAGGCTAAGCTAGATGTATTTAACAAATAAACGTGCAACATGTACTAATTTTTCTGTCTGATAAACTAGTTGGCTTGGGTTGGGATACATTACATACACTAGCTTGACTTCCATTTTTGTTTATGCTATAAAATGGTAATGTACAATTTTTAATATATTTATACAAAAATTTACTTTGCATTTCCTTTTTGTAAGACAAGTAGGCTAGCTTTTTTTTCCTTCTTTTTTTCCGGAAAGATAAAATGGGCTTTTTTTTCTTCTTCTTCTTTTTAATCAAACAAAAATGCTGATTGAACATATTCGAATGATCAAATGTCAATTTTACCATTTTACATCCTTAATTTGCCCAAACTGGTGAAGGATGATGGATTGGTTGAATTAGTATCAAAATAAGTCAAGAGTTCGATCCTTTTACTATAACTAAAAAAGAAAATTGTGTGACTGGCCCTCTCTCATTGACCCCTCTTCTCTCTCTTTCTTTGCAAACTCCTCAATTGGACTAACGGCCCTGACAGTCTATATGTCAGTCCGACTGAGGAGTTTGCAGAAACATAAAGAGGAAGGGGATGGGGTCGTGCCAGGTTGCATGGAGGGGCCGACATCAGGTACAGGTTGTCGATTTTCCAGGTTTTAATTTTTACAATGCCGTTGAATGGTAAAATGGGAAATTTTGAGGGGAAAATTTTGGGGTTGGGTCGAAATAGAATTGACCTGGGGTTGGGTCGAAATAGAATTGACCTATTTTGAAATGGTTAAATTTGCTAATAGCACTAACTTGGTCAAAAGGGAGAAAAAAAAAGCCGGGAAAGTGAGAGAGAGGGAAAATGGGGGCCAAAATAAAAAAATTTAACGAAAACCAAATAGAAAATCGAAATGCCTCCTCATATTGTCTCACTGGTGTGAGCCGAGTGATTCAGAGAGACCGAGACTGAGACTGAGAGAGAGATGAAGACTGCAGCAAAGAATTTGGTCATCGAGATCGAAGACGACGACTTCCTTTCTCAGGTGGCGGCGGCTGAGGCCCAGGCCCTCGCCAGCAAGCGTCGGCGTATCAGCATCGCACCCTCTCCAAACGCCGCCGTTTCTTTCCATTCCCACGCGAATCACAAAGAAGGCTCGGACGGCGAAGATGGCGGTATTTACACCGCGGCTCTCAAAGGAAGCCAAAGAGCAGCCCCCGAGCCTCCACGCGGAGGATTTTCGACGGGGAGAGTCAATGTCGGCCAGACCGGAAACGACGGCATTTCTGCTGGCGGTGGTTCGTGCTTCAAGTGCGGAAAACCGGGACACTGGGCCCGCGATTGTGATGTCGCCGGTGGAGGGTATTATGGTAATTCCGGCGGCGGGGACTCTTCGTCTTCGATTTCGGTTCCGGAGAAGAGCTGTCCCTGTGGATTTGGCGCCTGCATGGTGCTCACTGCAAATACTGAGAAAAATCGAGGTCGAAAGTTTTACAAATGCCCTCTTAGACAGGTTCACAAATCACAAACCCATTTCTAATTTTTTTTCTTTTTTAGGTTTAAGAGAGAAATGGATGCCATGGTTATTGGTTTTGTTTGCTTGAATTTTGACAGGAAAATGGGGGATGCGGTTTCTTTGAGTGGTGTGACAATGCTTCTGGGCCTAATGTAATGGCTAGTACTGGTATGGGTAGTGGTACCGCTACTAGGACCCATAGTTATGCTGCATCTGATTCTTCATTTCCTTCTCTTGAATGTCCCTGTGGCGGTGGTCTGTGCTTAATCTTAACAGCCAAAACTGGCAAAAACATCGGCAGCCAATTCTATCGTTGTCCTGCAAACGAGGTACCCTTTAACTTGTTGAGCCTAAGTCATTGATTTTGGCCCAATTAGATAGGAATGCATTGCAAATTTGGAATCTTTATTGTATATTTATCATGTGTTTGAATTAATGTCTAAGAGAAACTGCGTGTTTGGACTTTGAATCGTAATAGAACTGGATAGTGGCTTATTGTTTTTTTTGGCTCGTTTAGGGATGCGGTTTCTTCAAGTGGTGCAATGAGCATACCGGGGCAGCTGCTGGTGTTCTGGGTGGCGGTGCTGCCAAGGTGGAAAGGAAGGTTTCGAGTGAGGCAAGTAACAATGGCTTTGGTGTAAGAACTGGTTCTTCCTGCTTTAAGTGTGGGAAGGAAGGGCATTGGGCAAGAGATTGCCCAGCAGTTCCTTCCTATAATGCTCCAGTTGAGTTGGGAGCACGGTCTGCTGCTTCACCGGGCTCTTGCTATAAGTGTGGCAAACCAGGGCACTGGGCGAGGGACTGCCCTTCTGGTTAATGTGCAATGTACTACTGAAAGACAACCATTTCTTGAGTTTAACGTTTGTGTGTTGAGTTTTTCAAGACTAGCTGTTTCTCGATATGATATGAGATATTGAAAACAGGATTAACACAACCATATTAGGCCTGTTAATAGTTTTCTGAGAAACTTGTGGAACAAGTAAATAGAACTTCAGGATCTATGTTGTTTGCCCATCATTTTCATTTCTCAATAGAAATTGCTCGTACAGATTATACACGTACATGTTTTAATAAATGAATGCTAACACATGCATCAATGAGCTGTAAATTCTTGGTGAGACTGATGGGTTGATATGTTCAAAGATGAGTAATGTTACCCATGTCTTTTGTTAGAGATGTAGTTTTTCGGCATTTTTGTCAGTACTAATTTTCGTTACTCTTTCAGCATATTTTTCACAAAAGCCGCCTTCATTAAGAATTTTTTTCACAACATGCGTATAATCTCTAAGCTCAGTATGGACCTTTTAATGACAGTACAATAGAAAGAGCAAACCCCACCGTCCTTTATTTATTGGACCCATTGTGAATTTGGGATATAACAATCCCACACAAAATTGTTGATCGCCTATAAAACTCTACTGCATGCATTTCTGTGAATTGCAAACACAAAACTCATACACTGACCAACAAAAACTAAGATGAGTTCAATTTCAGTTGATAATAAGCCTCATGCTGTATGCATTCCCCTTCCATTTCAATCCCACATTAAGGCAATGCTTAAATTAGCAAAACTCCTCCACCACAAAGGTTTTCATATCACCTTCGTTAACACAGAGTTTAACCACAAGCGCTTTCTTAAATCTCTAGGACCCAACTCCCTTGATGGCTTGCCTGATTTTCGGTTTGAAACTATTCCCGATGGCCTTCCAGATTCAGAAGATTCTGCCCAAGACCCCTATCTTCTTTGTGATTCTGTCAGAAAAAATTGCTTGGCCCCATTTCGTAACCTCATCATGAAACTCAACGATACAACTTCCAGCAATGTTAATCCTCCAGTGACTTGCATTGTTTCTGATGGTTTCATGACGTTCACCATCACAGCTGCTGAAGAACTTAGACTCCCTGTCACGCTGTTATTTACCATTGCTGCATGTGCCTTCATGGGCTCTAAACAATATCCCATTTTGGTGGAAAAAGGACTTGCGCCACTAAAAGGTGAATATATTGAGCCAGTTTAATTTTATGATTCTTTATGCTTGTTTTCTAAACAAATGAAATTTTTTCTATAATTGCCTGGTTGTTGTAGATGAGAGCTGCTTAACAAATGGATTTCTAGACAAGGTAATAGATTGGATTCCAGCAATGAAGGGTATCCGTTTAAGGGATCTCCCAAGCTTTTTCGAAACCACAAATGATCCTAATGATATCTTCCTCAACTTCACCATTGAAGCAATGGACAGAGCTCATACAGCTTCAGCAGTTATGCTTCATACTTTTGATGTATTGGAGAGAGATGTTTTGGATGCTCTCTCATCCATGCTTCCACCTGTTTATGCCATTGGCCCTCTCCAATTACTTCTCAATAAGATACCACAAGAGTACCCTTTGAAGCCTATGGGATACAGTTTATGGAAAGAAGAAACTGAGTGCTTCAAATGGTTAAACGACAAGGCGCCAAATTCTGTTGTTTATGTGAACTTCGGCAGTATAGCAGTCATGACACCGGAATGTCTTGTGGAGTTTGGGTGGGGACTTGCAAATAGCAAGAATCCCTTCTTGTGGATAATTAGGCCTGATCTGGTGGTGGGTGCCTCAGCAATTTTGCCACCTGAGTTTGTTGCTGAGACCAAGGAAAGAGCTCTCATAGCAAGTTGGTGCCCACAAGAACAAGTGCTTAACCACCCATCCATTGGAGGGTTTCTAACACACAGCGGTTGGAATTCAACCATTGAAAGTTTGTCTGCAGGAGTTCCTATGGTTTGTTGGCCACTCTTTGCTGACCAGCCAATAAACTGTTGGTATACTTGCAATGAATGGGGCTGTGGCATGGAGATTGATAAGAATGTCAAGAGAGAGGAAGTGGAGAAGCTTGTTCGAGAGTTAATGGAGGGTGAGAAGGGCAAGAAAATGAAAAATAAGGCCATGGAGTGGAAGAAACTAGCAGAAGAAGCCACTGGTCCACATGGTTCTTCATCCACAAACTTAGACAATTTGGTGAATCAAGTGCTATTAAAAAACAACTAGCAGGATGTACTGCGCACAATCTAGTGTCTAATAAATAAACTAGCAAGATCGATCAAGATGCACTATGGCGAGGCTGTTGTCTCTGTTAGCAGCAGCATATGCTTATGAATAATTCCGAACATTACATTCCCAATGAGTTCTTATCTATATACTGTTAAACACTTATGTCTATGAGCTGAACAATCTTGCTGGATTACATGCTGATTAAGTTCTATATAGAAGGGTCCTTAGTAATTATTTCTGAACAGTCTTGAGTATTTGATGAATGAGTAGAGAGGAAGAAGAGAAACTGTAATCAAATGTGCCAAAGAACTTTAATTCCTTGGTAAGACTGAGTGGTTTTGTTAGAGATGTAGTTTTTGTTTCCTTTCACAGCTGCCGCCTTTAATATGAGAATATTTTCAATATGTGGCCTTTACTGAAACTACAATACAAAGAGCAAAGCCGACCGTCAATTGTTTATTGGACTCATCGGCAGATAACAGACACACACTAAAAAACGTTGGCCTGTAAAATTATATGTATATATTGCATTTGTGCTACAACTGATACACACAATCTAAGATGAGTTCAGTTTCAGTAGTTAATAAGCCTCATGTCATATGTACTCCGCTTCCATTTCAAAGCCATATAAAGGCAATGCTTAAATTTGCAAAGCTCCTCCACTACAAGGGTTTCCATGTAACCTTTGTCAACACAGAGTTCAACCACAAGCGATTTCTTCAATCTCTTGGACCCAACTCCCTCGATGGCTTGCCTGATTTTCGATATGAATCAATCCCAGATGGCCTTCCAATAAGTTCAGATACCGATGATGATGGAAATACTGTCCAAGACATCCCTTTGCTTCTTGATTCCATCAGAAAAAATTTATTGGCTCCATTTCGAAACCTCCTCAGAAAACTCAATGACACTGCATCTTCCAGTGCCAACAATATTATTATTAATAATCCTCCAGTGACATGTATGGTTTCAGATGGTTTTATGACATCCACCATCACAGCAGCCGGAGAGCTTGGAATCCCTGTCGTACTCTTCTTTACCATTGCTGCAGCCGGCTTCATGGGCTCCAAACAATATTCTGTTTTGGTGGAGAAAGGACTTGCGCCACTCAAAGGTGTGAAAGAGAAATGGGGAAGCAATTTTTGTTTCATGTATGATTATATATTTCTTGTTTTTAAAAAAATTAATTATGCAACTTTTCTTTCCTTGGGTCTTCTGTTGTAGATGAGAGCTGTTTGACAAACGGCTTTTTGGACAAGGTAATAGATTGGGTTCCAGGAATGCAGGGTATCCGTTTAAGGGATCTCCCAAGCTGCTTTCGAACGACAGATCCGGATGACATTGTGTTTAACTTTGCCAGGGAAGCAATGGATAGTGTTGATAAAGCTTCAGCAGTTGTTGTTCACACTTTTGATGCGTTGGAGCCACATGTTTTGGATGCTCTTTCATCTATGCCTCCACCTGTTTATGCAATAGGCCCTCTACAATTACTTCTCAATCATTTACCAAAAGACCCTTTGAACCCTATGGGATACAGTCTATGGAAAGAAGAAACTGAGTGCCTCCAATGGCTAAACTCCAAGGCACCAAACTCAGTTGTTTATGTCAATTTTGGGAGTTTAGTGGTCATGGCACCACAACAACTTGTTGAGTTTGGATGGGGACTTGCAAATAGCAAGGTTCCCTTCTTATGGGTAATTAGGCCGGACTTGATTGTTGGTGAATCAGCAATTCTGCCACCTGAGTTTGAGTTTGAAACTAAAGACAGAGGTCTAATAGCAAGTTGGTGCCCACAAGAGCAAGTCCTGAACCACCCATCCGTCGGAGGGTTTTTGACACACAGCGGTTGGAATTCAACCATTGAGAGTCTAACTGCGGGTGTGCCTATGCTCTGTTGGCCAGTCTTTGCCGAGCAGCACACCAATTGTTACTATACTTGCAATGAATGGGGCAGTGGCTTGGAGATTGATAACAATGTGAAGAGAGATGAAGTGGAGAAGCTTGTTAGAGAGTTAACGGAGGGGGAGAAGGGCAAGAAAATGAAAATTAAGGCCATGGAGTGGAGGAAACTAGCAGAAGAAGCCACTGGTCCACATGGTTCTTCATCCATAAACATGGACAATTTGGTGAATCAAGTGCTATTAAGAAAATAATAGAGATTATTCGTAAGAATAATATTAATTTTTGTTGTTAATGTTATAGCAAGATGTATTCAACTTCCATTTCCAAGCCATATAAAGGCAATGCTGAAATTAGCAAAACTCCTGTACCATAGAGGTTTTCATATAACCTCTGTCAACACAGAGTTCATCTACAAGCACTGTCTTCAATCTCCCGGTCCCAATTCTCTTGATGGCTTGCCTAATTTTCGATTTGAAACAACCCCAGATGGCCTTCCAATTAGTTCAGATGAAGACACCGCCAAAGATATCACGTTGCTTTTTAATTCCGTCAGAAAAAATATAATGCCTCCTCAAAAAGCTCAAAGAAATTGCAACTTCCTTTAACATTGATCCCCAGTGACTTGCATGCATTGTTTCAGATGATTACATGCCATTCACAATCCCCCCCGGCTGAAGAACTTGGCATTCCTATCATACTCTTCTTTACTTTTGCAGCAAGCAACATTATGGGCTTTACGGGTGTCTGAAAGTCTGACCGCAGGGTAAGAAAATGAAAGATAAGGTCGTGGGTGCAAGAAAGTGGCAGAAGAAGCCACCGGTCCACATGGTTCTTCATCTACAAACTTGGACAATTTAGTAAACCGAATGCTATTAAGAAAAAGCTAGATCATATTCCACTGGTCCACATGCTGTACCTTTGTCGTGACAAGAGGGGGACTAGGGCAGCAACTATTTACGTGAATAGTTGCTGCCCTTGCAAAAGGTCGTGGTGTTTCCACCAATTGCCATAGCAACAACTATTCACATGAGATATGAGGAGAAAATTTTGTATAGAGTTTTAGTGTGGGAAGTGAAAACTACAACTAAGTATTTATTTCTTAAAAAAATCTGAATTTTTTTGTATTTTTTTTTTAGATGTTTTTTTAAAAAAATTTGTTGTTGACGTCATCGCTAATGTCAGCAAACTCGGGCTAGAACTAAGGCAAATCTTGTTGACGTGAGTCTCCTAATTAATCAAGAGATTTACTTCCTTGATTAATTAAGGATTTACTTTCCTATTTTTTATATAAGTGATAAATCATTGTACAATTAGGAGATACTTTCCTAATTCTTTACTATGTCTAATTCCTTGTAAGACCCTCATGTAAACTCTTATATATACATCCTTATGGAGAAGAATAAAACTCAACCTAATACATTCAAATCATATTCATATTTTAGTATGGTATCAGAGCCAGGTTTCTTGTGACCTGTGTTTGCATTCTTCTTGAAATTTAAGTGCTCTCCTCCCCTTCTTGAAAATCTAAAGTCCTCAAATCCTCTTATCCAAATCCCTAAACACATACCATCAAATCTTAGACACATACCTCTTAAATCCAATTCCTACATCAAATTCATATATCAAATTTCTCACATCACCTTCCTCACCTTCTCATATCACATTTTACTTCCGCTGCGATGTCAGGAACCCATATGATTCTCCATCTTATTGCAGACTCATAGAAGTATGCGGTCAATCTTGTTGACCTGGCTACCCGGACTCCTTCTTATATCACCACCACCAAAGGTTCTACTCTTCATACGTCCTCCAAGATTAGATATTGCATATGTTGTGAGTGTGGTTAGTCAGTTTATGCATTCACCCAATGTTTCTCATAGGAATGCAGTTGATCAGATCTTAAGATACTTAAAGTCAACCTCTGGGAAAGGATTAATGTTCTCAAAAAATGGAGATCTTGAAGTTGTTTGATACACAGATGCTGATTGGGCTGATTCTATTACAGATAGACGCTCTACTTCAGGTTACTTTACATTCGTGGGAGGTAACCTAGTCACTTAGCGGAGTAAAAAGCAAAATACGGTTTCTCGATCTAGTGCAGAAGCAGAGTATCGAAGAATGGCTCACGGAGTTTGTGAATTATTGTGAATCAGAAGATCAACTGGCAAATATCTTAACCAAAGCTGTTTGTGGAAGAGTATTTCATGATTCTCTTACCAAGTTGGGCATTGATGATATATATGCACCAACTTGAGGAGGAGTGTTGACGTGAGTCTCCTAATTAATCAAGGAGATTTACTTCCTTGATTAATTAAGGATTTACTATTGTTTGCCCGTTTTGCGTTCACTCCTGTGATGGAAGGGCAAAGTTCCCCACTGCCTTGAGAACCATAAACTGGTTGACAAGTCAGCTTTCTTTGGTGTGCGAGCGTGCCACTGCTAGCAATACAAATTCTAGCAAACTTAGTCTGGAGTAGATAACTTGCGCCCCAAGTTACTGATTTCTGCAAACAAACGATTGTGAATTTGGGTGAGGAATATCTCCCAAGTAAGTTCTTTTCTTGCCTCAGACGGGTGAGGACTTTAACAATTTATCTCAGTATAAACAGGCTGCTCTGGCCAAAATGGTTGATGGAATTTAAACTGTTTCAGGCAGAACTGATGGAATTTAAACTGTTTTTAGGCAGAACTGATGGAATTTAAACTGTTTTTAGGCAGAACTGATGGAATTTAAACTGTTTTTAGGCAGAACTGATGGAATTTAAACTGTTTTTAGGCAGAACTGATGGAATTTAAACTGTTTTTAGGCAGAACTGATGGAATTTAAACTGTTTTTAGGCAGAACTGATGGAATTTAAACTGTTTTTAGGCAGAACTGATGGAATTTAAACTGTTTTTAGGCAGAACTGATGGAATTTAAACTGTTTTTAGGCAGAACTGATGGAATTTAAACTGTTTTTAGGCAGAACTGATGGAATTTAAACTGTTTTTAGGCAGAACTGATGGAATTTAAACTGTTTTTAGGCAGAACTGATGGAATTTAAACTGTTTTTAGGCAGAACTGATGGAATTTAAACTGTTTTTAGGCAGAACTG